CCCGAGAGATTGGGTGCTCTATCTTCACTGCTTCTGCACAGCAACGGAGAGTGGAGAGCTAAGACTGTCTCTGTAACTCTCTTTCGCAGCCCTTTTGTGGGTTTTGCTAAAATCCGCCAGCGGTCACGTAGCGGGGGACGACCCGCCTGCTTTAATTGTGCTGGTTTTTGGAAATGTTGTCGTTTTGTTAGTTAGTGGAGTCCCGCGCTTTGGTTGACACTTGACTGGACGCGTCGCACGAGGAATTGTTATGACCGTGACCGCTTTCCAGTGCGGGCCAGCACAGGATTCGGGGAAGAAAATAAATTTAAAAAAAAAACCTTTTTATTTCTCTCATCGTGCATTTTTCTCTCGAAATTCAAATTCATCTAATAGTGATAAATAGCATTCTTGATGAATGTATTTTTTCTTTATAAATTCAAACTCATCTAATAGTGATAAATATGATAGTAAGCATACACTACATTAAATGTGGTAAGCAAAAATACTCTTTTAATTTATGTCTTTTAATCTTCTTAAATTTATTTAATTCGACTTTCAAAAATTAAAAAAAAAATATGTGAAAATTTTAAAAAATAGTACGTGGATAACACTCCAAAAGGAAAAAGAGTTTCCTTCAAAGGGTAAGGAAGAAAACAAAAATAAATAAATAACTTGTGTGAGCAAAAGGAGTAGGATTGCCTTTTTATTTTTAATTCTCATTTTTTATTTTACTATTTGAATGGTCATCAATAAATCACGTTAATATTTTGTGTTGAATTCTTTTATAGAAGAGAGAGAGAGTGAAAAATGTGAGAGGAGGAGGGAGAAAATGAAGAGGAAATAATCTTGCTCCGCCTGGAAGGGTATGCAAATTATGACTCAAAAATGAAGTTTTAACGAAACATTACCGGTACTGTTTATTTTTAACGAAAAACCATATTTTTACCTTTTCTTGTACTATTCACTACACCTTTATTTGTCATTTTTTATTAAAACTAATTTTTTTTTTAACTTTTCGTTAGTTTTCGTAAAAATTTATTATCACTATGAATAACACTGGAAGAAGAAGAATTTATAATTCACCAAAACACAAAAGAATTTACTAATTACTACAGATAACATTTCCTTTACACTATGTTTGGATGAGATAAATAAACTTGAAATTTGGATAAAAGTCAGAATTTATAAATTGACATGCATTAATTCCCTTGTTTCGATTTATAACATAGAAATTTAGAATTTTCGCGCGGAAAAAAAACTTGGAATTTGGGGCCTCCAATTTCCAAGTTTAAATTCCATGTAAATAGGTTTCATTTTCCAATTTCTATGATTGGGAGTTTAAATTTAACAAATTCTGTTTTCAATTCTATTGTTCTTTTAAGTTAACCAAACAACAAAATTCACAAATTCTAGAAAATAAAATCCCTTCATTTCAATTTCCATCATTTTAAAATTCCTTAGTAATCTTAAATTTCTTCATCCAAACATAATGTTAGTTTTATGAAGGAAAATGATTCTTCGTCCTTATTGATGTGTCATTATTTTACTATACAAAAATTTCGTATTCTTTATTCATTATCTTAAAAAGAATTTATTTTATTTGAAGGCTGTTTATTTGTTTATATAAATCAAATGAATTTACAGTTTAATTGAAGGGGTGTGATATCCACACACCTTTCTAATTTTCGGCCTTCAGATCGGATGAAATGAAGAAGATTTAACGGATAGAAATTAACAAAGGTGTGTGAGAAGTGAAAATGGGTGTGTGGATAGCACACCCCTAATTGCAATATCAACGTGGAAATCATGTAACGTAAAACTTGCTTTTTAAGTGTTCTTTTATTCTTTAGATATTAAAAGCTTGTTTGGTATCCTATTTGAAATTTTTTATTATTTCTCAAAACATTTCTTAAGAACATTTCTTTAAAACAATTTTCTTTAATACTCAAAACTTAATTGGTTTGTTATTTAAAAAATTTAAATCTTATAACTTAAACTAGACAAATATATCTAAAAAGAATGGGTCGCAGGAAAGGGAGAGAGAAGAGGAAAGAAAGTAATAGATGATTGAAGGAAAGAGAAAGAATGGTGAGGATCGGACGAGATAGAGAGGAAGATGAGTGAGAGAAAGAACTGAGGCCATCTCCAACCGAAGGATGCAGAGGGCCAGAGGGCCGAAAATAGCCCTAAAACCGTCTCCAACCGAGGGCTAGGCCAGAGGGCTCTGGAATCTGGGAGGGCCCCACGGGATCGGAGAGGGCTGGAGGGCTGGAGGGCTGGCTGCTTTCGGCCAGCCAGCCAGCCCCGGGCTGGCTATTTTTTTTTTAATGATTTCCTATTGCTGTCGGTTAAAACCGACAGCATTAAAGACCTTTTTTTTTGTTTTAATAGTTCTGCTATTAGTGTCGGTTATAACCGACACTAATAGTTTGAAATGTTTTTTAATATAACGGCTAGCTGAGTCAGCTAGCCGTTGGTTGTTTTTTTTTTTTTTTTTTTTTTTAAACATTACTAGCCGTTGGTTTTTTTTTAATTTATTTTAAACATTACTAGCCGTTGGTTTTTTTTTTTAATTTATTTTAAACATTTTTTTCTTCTATAAATATAGTGAAGTTCTTTCAATTCTTCACTTCATTTGCAATATTTCCTTCTTCAATATTTCTTTCAATATTTCCTTCAATATATTTTCTAATATTTCCTTCATCTATAATATTTGTTTCAATTTTCCAATATTTCCTTCAATAAATTTTCCAATATTTCCTTCATCTATAATATTTTCTTCTATAACATTTGCAATATTTCCTTCAATATTTCCTTCATTTTTTTTCCAAAAAAATGGCCTCATCTGCAATGAAAGGTAGGGCTTGGACCCGAAAAGAAGATGAAGCTCTTTGCAAGGCTTATAGATGGATCTCAGAAGATAGTGTGAGGGGGATTTCTCAAACAAGTGAAGGTGTTTGGACTCGTGTGTCCAAAAAATACTTAGAGTTCTACGAAGGCACCATTCCACCGAATATCCGAAACCACGAAAGTTGTTCTTCAAGATGGAAGAAACATCTTCATCCAAGTTTGAATAAATGGCATCAAGCACTATTAGCAGCAGCACGTAGACATGAAAAGCGGCGCCAATTACTATGACGAAGTTAGTGTTTTTACAGTTTATTTTAAATGTTTAAAATGTTTAATTATATTACATTAATTTCGTGAATTAATTTCCTAAAATTTTTTTAATTATATTTTCTAGGTACGCCAAGCGGAGGAATTGTATATGGAGGGCAGCTCAAAACCCTTTCAGTTTCACGGTTGTTGGGTAATTTGTAAAGGGTGGGTGTTATTTGAAGATCCACCTCAACATAGAGTGGATCCTTTGGAAGCTGCATCCCCATCTGTAGATATGAATGAAGATGGATCTCCTACCATTCAACAAACAAGGGTAGAAAATCCGACTCCGTCCGAAATTTCTTTACCTAGGGCTATGGGACGAAACAAGGCCCGAAGGTTGAGGGAAAAGGGCAAGGCAAATGCTAATTACGCCGCTCAACATGAAGTGGCGGCCTCATTTCGATTACTGGCGGAGCAAAATGCCCGTGAGGCGGAAGAAAGGAAGTGTAGACATGAAGAGCGAGCCAAACAAATACAAGAAGAGATGGATGATAAGAATATGGAAAGGAACACTTCGGATTACACTCCAATGAGTAAGGCCTATTTTGATAGGAAAAAAAAAAGAAATTATGGCTCGGCGGCAATTGTTTACCTCTGACTATACTCCTACAATGGCGGATGATGAAGATGATATTGATTATGGATATTAAATTTAAGTCGTTGTAATTTTTAAATTTAAGTTAATGTTGTTTTTAAATTTAATTTGTAGTGTTTAAATATAAGTTGTTGTTTTTAAATTTAAGTTGTTGTAGTTTTTAAATTTAAATAATAAATTATGTTTGGTCCTATGGCCCTTTGGCCCTCGGTTGGAGACGGTTTTTTGTGACAGGGCTAAAACGAGCCATTTGGCCCTTTAGCCCTCGGTTGGAGACGGAGGCAAATATGGCCCTGTACTGTTCATTAAAATATTAATATCTTGGGGAATCTTGGAGGGCTAGAGGGCTCAAACGAGCCCTCTGGCCAGCCCTCGGTTGGAGATGGCCTGAGAGAATAAAGAGAGCAGATTGGATGAGGGACGAAAAAGGTAAAAACAAAAAAAAATTAAAAAAAATTAAAAAAAAAAAAGGAAAGAGAAAGAAGAAAAGAGAGAGAGATAGATAGATTTGGAGTGAGAGGGGAGGAGAAAAAAAAAGAAATGAATAAGTTTAAGTTTAAAAACTTTAAAAACTCAATTTTTATGTTTTTAGATAATATACTATATTTTTTAATTAGTATCGAGTTCAGTTTTTTAAAATAGTTATACCAAACAAGTTTTTAAGACCTAAAACTTGAAAATTGTTTTTGAATTTAAAAAGTTAAATTCAAATAGAGTACCAAACAGATCCCAAGTTGTTGGCGACTTTTTTTTACTCCATTTTGTGGAATCATGTTTACGGAGAACTTTTAGCAGATACAATCACCAGCATTGGTTTTCGTTTTAGTAATGTCCATATTTGGGATGGGACTTCTATGGCAAGAAAAGCTTTCTTGTTTGAGTGACGGATCCTCTTTGTCATATCCGGATATTCATAAATCATGTATGTTCATTGTATATCGTACGATCACAAATCATTTTAAATTTTTTTATTTAAAATTGAATACAAATATTACTAGACAAAAACTGACTGCACGATGTACGATAAACAAAAATAATTTATGAATCCCTTAGATCCTTACAAAGAGGATCCGAAAAGAATCATCATTGCTCTTAATTGTATTGGAACTGGTTGTGATCACGTATCACTATTTAGTGCCTTTTCGTTTCTTAGAGCAAAAAAATAAAAAATAAAAATACTGTATGTGTAAAGTCTTTTAACAATTTTTTTTTCTCAAAATTCTCTGTGCGCTATGAATTATTTGACTAAACACTCTTGACAATGATTTCAACACGCTATTTTTTTTATGTTAAAACAAATTAAGTAAAAACAATGAAGTATATAACTCTCACCTCTTCCCTTTTTCCATCAGTCATTGAAGTTAAAAGGGGATGAGCCTTCCAGACATCAAAATGTTCCCTGAGTTGATAAACGAGATGCCAGACTCAAATGCTTGCCTTGCCTATTAAGTGCAGATATGGGGATTTCCCTCAAACCCTCTAAAAATCTTGAACTTTGCCATCTGACTGTCATTCCACATTACGTATCCGAACATCATTGCATTCCAAGATGCCAGATTGAACTTGAGTTTATTTCCGACGAGGACTTCGCCCTCCATGTTTCAACTTCTAGAGTAAACATCAATAAGAGCCGTCGAAACAACACTGTCAGCAACAATATCGGATTTTATATCATGAACATGAATCTGTTTGCTGGCTGACAGCCCTTCTTCAAGCGAGGAGCAAGCCCTTAAAACACTTGCGATAGCTAATTGATCGGGTTTCAAACCATCATGTAATAACCTGTAAATAAGTTTACCGCTTCCTTCCTAAACCACTTTGCGCACAACATGATATCATTGAGTTCGCCGAAATTAAGTCCACTTCTTTCACACGATTGAACACTTTTCTCGATGAATAAGCAGAACGAGCGTTTGAATACACTACAGCAGTCCGCAGCCCAATTTTCACCAGCTTTAACATACTCAGACAATGTCTTGTTCCAAGAATATATGTCCAAACACTCCTACTTTGTATCATACAGAAACAATTTCTTCGCGTATGCTTGAACCTGCTCCATATGCCTCTTGCATCTATAAGAATCAACTTAGTCAATCCCACAGAGAACAGAGTGCACACTAACATCATCAAGGCGCAATCCACTCCAATGAAATGCAGAGAAGAAATAAAGTCCTTCCTCAAGACCCGTTTCCACATATGCCTTGACCATTGTATTCCATAACACAACATCCCTTTCCATCATCCCATCAACAACACGAGCGGCCTTAATTCGTCCGAATTTAGAATATATATTCACAAGAGCACCAGAAACAAGCTCATTCCAAATCAGTCAGTAGAATCCCTAAATCTAGCAATGTTGCCACTGAAGTACCATAAGCAAAAACCGAAGGTAGAAGATGGGGTTACCCAAAAGTGATTCGCCACGAAATCCATCTGTTCAAAAAATCTGGGTCGGTTAGCAGGCAGCTGCGCTGAAAGAACCCCCATGAAACAATCTCTCTCTGATAAACTTTCGATATGTATTTGACTGCATTATGGCAATCTTCACAAACTCTCAGGTTTTTTATCACCCAAATGGCAGCGGACGGAGGAGTGCTTATGAGTCCATAAGCTATTGCTAGCTTCTGACTGTGGTAGTACAGAGAACGCTGCAGCTGCGTAGATGTTGGATAAAAGCACGTAAGCAGACGAGTAAGATGGCTCCACAGCCAGGAGCTGTACTGCTATGCTACCCGTTTTCCAGTTTCGGTTTCCCCTTTGACTCTACGAGCATAACTCTACAAGCACATAGAAGGGCTCTATACATTGAAGCAGAAGCTTCAAAGGGCATTGATACTATCAGTTTTTCTGCCTCTTGGACTAGACCTGCGCGGCCAAGGGCATCAACTAGGCAAAAGTAGTGCTCCATCTCAGGTTCGACGCCGTAATCTTTCTGCATTTTAGAAAAATACTCAAATGCTTCGGATACTAAACCAGAATGGCTGCAAGCGGAAAGGACTCCAATGAAAGTAACTCTATCAGGCTCGATGTTCTTCGTTTTCATGACTCTGAAAAGGCTTAGTGCTTCTTTAGCGTTTCCGTGCTGAGCTAAACCGACCAACATGGCATTCCACAGGGCGACATTCCTAACATCCATTTTCCTGAATAAATGATAAGCATCTTCTATGTTGCCGCACTTGGCATACATGTCAACAAGTGATGTTGCGACAAAAGTGTCTGAGGAAAAATCCAACTTTATCACATCAGCGTGTATCTGTTTCCCTGGTGCTAATGCTGTCAGACAAGAGCTGGCTTTGACAAGGGTGGCTAAGGTATATTCATCGGGATCGACTCCTGACTGCCTCATCCGATGGTATATAGAAAGAGAGCGCCCTTCATCTCCATTTTCTACACATCCTGAGATCATAGTTGTCCATGCAACACCATCGGGTGCAGGTATGTCGTTGAACACTGTGTGTGCACTTCCCATGTCACCACATTTGATATACATCTCCAGAATTCCACTGTTAACACATAAATCCGAAACAAAACCTGTTTTTATGGCATGAGCATGAATTTGCTTGCCTGGTCCTGGTCCCAAAGCTACCAGGCTACTAGCAGCCTTAGCCGCAGTTGTTAAAGATATCGCATCTGTGCTGTGTCCACCTTCGTGCATTATCCTCATAAGTTCCAATGCCTTGTGACTGTCATTACACATTATGTATCCGAACATCATTGCATTCCAAGATGCCAGATTGAATTCAAGTTCATTTCCAAGAATGACCTCTGCGTCCTCCATGTTTCCACTTCTAGAATAAACATCAATAAGAGCTGTCGAAACAAAACTGTCAGCAACAATACCGGATTTTATAGCATGAACATGAATCTGTTTGCTGGCTGACAACCCTTCTTCAAGGGAGGAGCAAGCCCTTAGAATACTTGCGATAGTAAATTGATCCGGTCTCAAACCATTATGTAATAAGCCTATGAATAAGTTTACGGCTTCCTCTCCTAAACCACTTTGCGCACAACATGATATCATTGAGTTCAACGAAATTAAGTCCACTTCTTTCATGCGATTGAACACTTTTCTTGAAGAATAAGCAGAACGAGCCCTTGAATACATGTTGATGAGGCTATTTGCAACAGAAACAACAGAATCAAAACGTGATTTCAAAGCAAGACCATGAATCTGTTTCCCCAACTCCAAATCATTTACACCGGCAACCGTAGACAGAATAACAACTAATGTCACCGTGTCAAACTCTACTTTTGATCGTACAATGTTTCTAAAGCAGTCTATAGCAGCCCAATTTTCACCAGCTTTAACATACTCGGACAACGTCTTGTTCCAAGAATATATGTCCGAACACTCCGACTTTGTATCATACAGAAACAATTTTGTCGCGTATGCTTGAACCTGCTCCATGTGCCTCTTGCATTCATAAGAATCAACTTTGTCAATCCAACTGAGAACAGAACGCACACTTACATCATCGGGATGCAATCCACTCCGATGAAACGCTGAGAGGAAAGAAAGTCCTTCTTCCTCAAGACCCGTTTCCACATATGCCTTGAGCATTGTATTCCACAACACAACATCCCTTTCCATCATCCCATCAAACAACACACGAGCGGCCTTAATTCGTCCGAATTTAGAATATATATTCACAAGAGCACCAGAAACAAGCTCATTCCACTCCAATCCAATCTTAACAGCATACCCATGAACCGCCTCGGAAACCCATAGGTGCCCTGATATCAAACACATTTTCAAAACCGGCGCCAAAGTGAGCCGACTGGTAAAAACAACCGACTCACGAAGACGCCGGAAAAGGCTAAGACCCTCTTGAACATTCTCAACATCAGAGCCCGCAGCATGCGCATAGGCCGCTAGAATGGAGTTCCATGTGACAAGGTCTCGGCCGGGCATTTTATCAAACAGGCGGCGTGCGGATAAAAGCGATCCGCATTTGGAATACATGGCGATGAGGTTGTTGGTCAAAAACTGATCCGGGCCATCGCCGGAGGTTACGATCAGCGCGTGCACACGCTTTCCGAGCTGCAAGTCTGCGGCGGCGACGGCGGCGCGGAGGATGGAGAACCACTGAGAGGAGGAGGAAGCAGAAGATGGGGATATGCGGGCAGAGTGAGAGAGGGCAGAGGAGAGTAAGAGAAGAGATTGTGGGTGTGGAGAATTGGTGAGGAGGGAAGTGGCTTTGGGGCGGAAGTGGTGGCGCAATCGCATTATTGTTTCTTGTTTGCATCGTTGACTTTCCCTCCAAAACTCAAGACTCCGGTGTTTGTAGATTTATTTTTTTTTTTTTTAATTTTATAAAAATTCTGGTGTTCGTAGTTTGAAAGACAAAACGGACACTTCCAAAGATGTGAAGCACTGGATATGGCCCATATCAGTTTGAGGGTGGACCTAGGTGAGTTTGAGGTCTCTTAAACATTTATTTGATGGATATATGCACAAATAGAATCAGTTACAAACGTTTTTATTTTAATGAGACGGTGTATATTGTAAGCTTCTTTAATCTTTGGATGGATGCGTCGAACTCAAGTACAAGGAAACGAACACACAACACATGGCCAATTGGGCTCAACCTTTATATTGATTATAAACGTGTAATAAAAAAATAAAACTCAAAGATCACTAAACAGACAATAAAGTAGCACTAAATCGTAATTTTATTGGTGGTTCTCTTAAATTCAACTTGTATCTAATCATGATTTTAAAATAATTTATTAAAATCCAAAGAAATCCGAGTGTATTCAATTAGAATTATGAAGAAGTTTAGAATATTTTGGGAGTACTCCATTACGAATTTGTTTTAAAGAATTTTAAAGAGTTGAGGAGTTTGAGAGAATTTGAGAGATTTCTTACGGTATTTTAAGCATTCACAAACCTCACATATTCTCTTGAGATTTCGAGAGAATTAGATCAAAATTTTACATATAATCTCTACAAATCAATTAAACTTAATCAAAATCCATGAATTTATAAATCTATTATAATCCGTCAAAATCTCAATTGAACACACCCTCCTAAAACAAGAGTGCTTTTTTTTTTTTTTTTGATAAACTGGGAAATAAATTCCGTGGCAAAGATGTCAGAAACATACACCGAAAGCCTACATAGAGGCAAGCACATAAGCAGTAACCAACACAGTGTAGAGGGGTACAACAAGGAGGACGCTGCAACCATGAAAAAACATCACCCCCTACACTGTCCAAACAAAACTAATGAGGACAAGGTAAACCTTCGTTGTTCAGAACAAACACCAATGAAGATGGACGGCTATCAGCCCACACAACATTGCACATCTCGGTATTACTAACCGACGCAAGAGAATCCGCCTCCATATTGGTACAAATTGCCCATGATCAGATCTAACCGTGAAACGGACGTGAAGATTTGGTATATATATTAAATCATCCCTTCCTTGTTAAGGTTTCCATAGTTGATGATGCCGGTCAAACTCCGGTAAGCCGGAAAAGGAACTGGAAACGGGGAAGGAAAAAACCACTCTCAGGTTGCCGGCGAAACATAAAGTTCCGGCTAAATGGCACAGGGTATAATTGGCGAGGTGAATTGTTCTATCATGTAATTCAATTCTATCAGTTACATCTGGGAATCAAAAAGGAATTTGACAAAGAAATAAAATTTTAAGATACAAAAAAAGCAAAAGATGCAAGGCACCTGCTAATGTAGGATCATTTTCGGCTACAGAAAACGTAATCCCTCGGTCAACTGCTCCAACTTAATGATACACTTCTTTTTTTTCGTTTTGTCGGTCTTTTTCCCTCTAACTTTCCGATCCTTCGTTTTTTTTCCTTTCGTTTTTCAGACTTGGACTAAACTTGTTTTCTTCCCATATACAGATACAAGATTCGCTATGATGACTATGGCTTCACGGACTGTGCTGTGTTAAAAAAACATCCTATACCTCAAACACGTCATCTTCGTGGCTCAGTATAACAGAACTCGGAGCAGCCCTGGCTGTGGTTCAGTGTAGTCAAGGCCTTCTTCGAGTAGGTATCGCTGTACAGCAATTGGGAGCCTAGCTGGAGTGCGGGAACCCCTGGTGTGGTGGCCCGTTCCAACACATATATAAACCAGAAGACCAGGCTCTCCTGCTCTGGCAGCATTCCTCAACACGCTCAGCTCGTGCTTCAGGACATGAAGGGCTTCACTTACGTGCAGCCCGTGCAGGTCTATCATCCTCTCTTGTGATCTCCCATTGCCCTGCATCTCTGGAGAAACTGGGTTCCTGTGTTTTCAGAAAACAGTACACAACAGCAGAAAAGGCAACCGATTAACTTTATCAATAAAACAAGAAAAACATCAAAACTAAGGTCATTGAGGGTGAACGCAAAAATTAGTCAACTGCGTTAAGTATGTTACTCTGCATGATCAAGTAGCACTCTAGCGATGCTTATATAGAAGCATTCTCGGATCAAAATAACAAGAAGTTCAGGAGGTGGTAATAAGTCAACCAGAATATTCGTTTATTCCCTCGAAGATAAATGGATTTCAGTAGACAAGACGAGGAGGGGTTTAAAATTTTAGTCTAATCCAAACGACTTAACTAAGAAATGAAAAGAAACCAAAAGACCGCATCAAGCCATCACAAATGCACATAAGTATAGACAGTATGGTTAAACAAAATTCTATAAATACTAGGGCATCCTTGCCCAGGCGGAGCACAAACAGTGGGGGACAACAAACCTCTGACGATATATAGACTCTTGAGCTTTTCCATGAGCTTCCTTCATATGCATGTTGTGCAGCTGTCCTTTAACGCTCAGCTCCTTTGCTAGAGCCTTGTTTCCAACAAGGTATGCTTGCCGTGCCTGTTTTTTAATAGAAACAGTAAGGGTAAATTTGGTTTCATAGCAACATTAGCTGAAAAAGTTAGTAGAGGGGATTGGAGTGAACCCACAAATCATTATGTGGCTCAACATTCGGCACGCATGGTAGAAAGGAAAAAAATGAAACTGCAGTAGCATGCCGGTATGACAATTTGATATGGGAAAAACACTCCTACAAATACCTATTGGTTAAATACACATTTGTTTCCAACCCATGGAAGGTGAACACCCACCATGTGCTGCTGCAGTTTGTTTCTTGGCCATGTATTTAATTTTTAATGTTGACATCTTAGGCAAAGAGAATTGGTGTTCAACTCACTAGAGTCAATCATGATCGAAAATTAAATCTACCAAGATGTCCATATGCTGCACCAACACAATTTTAAGCCAATTTAAGGCTTCACTCTTAACATAAAGCAAGAAGGATGTGGCGGAAAGGGTGCAGAAACAGACCATTTAAGGCGAAGAACATTGAAGACAAACCTGCTCAAAATATGCATTACGTAGGCGTGCATGGTCCCGAGCTTCATCCCGCAGATCAGAATACATATTTGCTGTCATCTCAACAATGTTAAAGCATATATAGATCGAGAAGAATGTCCATAACTAAACAAAAATGAACAGAACTAATTTGGTTGACCAAGGGACATTACCAACGGCATCTCCCGTTTCAAGCCAAACAGGTGCAGTTCGAGCTGAACCACGATTCTGCGACCTGTCGCTGTACATGCCTCTTCCATGCCCAGTATTGTAAGTGCTGTTCGAAAGATGGGAACGGCTTGAGCCAATAGCAGCATCAGCAGAACCATTTCTCTCATACTTCCATCCAGAATCCTGGGTTGCTAATTTTCTGACAGCTGAAGCAAAATCTATTGCACCTCTATTAGGAATTGATGAGCTAGACTTGAACAAAAGCATGTTGTCTTTGTCAGAAGATCGATAAGGATTGCTTTGCTGGAGATCAGCATCTCCAGCATATTTTGAATGATCATGATGACCATCTGTTGGCGTAAGTGCAGGGAAGTCCATTGAACTAAGATCAGGAGCTGACAAGGCCTTTGAGTTCAAATTCTCATTAAAACCACCGTCAACTTGAAGCTACAAGTCAAAACAAATAAATCCCATCATACACCTCAATTCACACACAATGAAAAGGATACATAGAATCTAAAGAATTAGCATGAACAATTTAATAATGTTTTCTTTGACTTGATTTTTTGAAAAAAATACAATATTTAACTTTAAAGAGAAATATTAACTGACAACAATCCAATGTAACAGTAGACATGCAAGCTGCCTTGATTGAGGATGGCAAACTTATTTTTGTCAATTTGAATTAACAGATGCAAGTATACCTCCAACTGAGTCAACATCTCAATAGTCAGGTTCAAATTACAGCCATTGGCAAAGTAAACTTCAGCAACGCTCTGAGCAGAGAAGCCAGGGAACTGTGAAGCCAAAAACTCAGCAGGGTTAATATCAGCATCTTCCACAACTGCATGCTCACCCATCATATCATTCATGAACCCGTGTCTAGAAAAGCCATCATAAGGAGACCCCTCCTGACCATTGCCAACAAGCTGATTACTGTTCAGAATCTGTTTATCCCAAGGCTTCGGTGACATATGAAGGAAACTGGCCGATGAAAGATCCTCCCCGCCAAAGGGAGGTGCAGAAGCTCTTAACTTTTCGGAAAAGCTATTGCCATTAGTATGTGACTCGTTTAATAAGTATCCACTGCCCGTAGAGGCAGCAAACCGTGTTGCTTCAACATCATCGTGTAAGGACAAACCTGCCAAAGAGAGGTTCCCAAGGCCTTGCGACTCATCTTCCCCCATGACCTTAAAATCAGGGGTAATATCATCAGGGAGCTGGTGGCGCCAGTACTGGTGGGCCTCGTCATCGGAATTGTTTGATATAGAAGATTCTGTTCGATCTAGTACTGCTTTTCCAAATGTTCCAGCGGAAGAAAACTTTTTTGAGCCCTGAGCCGTGCTGGTGCTTCCAGATGACGGAGATCTGAGGGAAAAGGGAACAAACTCTGCTGCATTGGGATTCAACACAGTTGCCTTGTTTGCAGTGCTTAGTTTGGTGTCGTTGGTAAAGGATCCCTTCTTGGACAAGTTCATTATTTACTCAAATGAAAATAACTAAAACAGCTTTGAATAAAACAATAACTTGATTTTCATTAAGCTTCAACCAAACCCTGCAAAACAGTTCATCGAGTGTTATAATTAGCCCATTGACCAAAAACTTCCCCTTCTTGAAAAACCAACTTGCAATTCAACAAGTCCGTCAAAGTTGATGCAACCAGTTATAAAATAATCGAAAATAATACCTAAACAGAAAGAGAAAATCTACTTATTTTGAAAATTGAATCATACATATATCAATCATTTTCAAATATACACCAAACCTGCAATTATTTGTTCAAAGAAACATGCTTTAACCCCTAAAAATTCAAGTTCAAACGCTGATTAAAGTAACAAACAACAAAAAAAGTTTAATTTTTAAGCAGAAGTAAACGATATAACACATAAAAAAAATCTCACACATTAATTATATTCAACGCTCAATTAATTAAGACCTGATATTCCACACTAGCATTTTCCACAGCAAAATCTATACAAAAATCTTGATTAAAAATAAACAATAATTAATAACACTTTATTACTCAAGCAACCAAATCCATAACTACTCAAGCAACCGAATTCAATAGATCTCAACAAATTCAACGTCAATGATTAAAAAAAATCTAAAAAAAATCAAATAAAAATTCAAGACATGAAATTAATGAAGCTGCAAAATTGAACAGATGAAGCTCAAGATCCGATTGAACGAAGCAGCAAGAGTATACCTTTTCGTACCAAATCGAAGGGATCCATCGGCTAAAGAATACACAAACTAAAGAGAAGATTAGAGGGAAAGTAGAAGATTTGGGGGTTTTGTATGGAGTGCTTGGAGAGCTGCGTCTCCAGTATATTATCTTCAAGCTTTCAGGGCTATCTCTCTCTGGTTTCTCTCTCCTCTGTGTGTTTTTGTTTGAAACCCTCCGTGGGCTAGAAAGAAAGAAAAAGGAGGAGAAGGGCTAAATGGAAATACCACCACCACCACCACAGAAATCTGTAAAAGACAACCCAACCCCCTTCGCCACTCGATTTGACCCCTCTCTCTTTCTCTCTCTACTTTCTCTCTCTATCTCTGTACGACTCACTCATTGCTTTTTTTTTTAATATTTCTTTGACGTAATTGGGATTCGGAGGAGAGAGAGAGGATGAGCACAACTTTTTTAGCCCTATATTTTTGTTTTTTTTTTCTATTTTTGTTTTTCTTTTTTTGTTAGCGTCATATTTTTGAAAAATGGTTAGGACTTTTTTCTAAAGAATATGAAAATGGATAGGTTTGGCAATTTGTGTTTGCCTGTTGGGTTCGTGTTGACACGACATAACAGATCAATACTACATGATTATGAATTGCATCATTAATTTCAGACCAAAACGATACACAATTTTAACATGTTACGTGTCAAGAAAACAGAAGATTCAAGTTTTATTTTAACGTGCTACATATGGGTTGGCTCAAAAATATGTTCATGCGATTATGACTTGAGCATAATTATGGCCAACTAAAACCTATTTATTTTTATCGTTTTTTCAACTCATTGTCGTGTTGTGTACCAAATAGTCATCCCTAGATTAAGACTTATGATCCAAGGTTTTTTTTTTTTTATCACATTACCATTATTAATTGTCTAAGAACTTGAATTTCAAATCATGTTTTATGATTCAATATAATTTTAATTGTTGGAATGGTCTTTAAACTAAATAATCAAATGACTAATACACATTTTTAGTCAAAATGATAACCAATAATTAGTGTCTCCCTTTTTATGTCACTAGTTACATATGCAGAACACAATAATTTTATAATTAATTTTGCTAATTTTTAAAACATGTACGTATTTCAATCTTCAATGAATATCGTATTTCTTCTCCAAAAAAATTATCACGAACTCCAAACTATAAAATGCAAAATCAAAATTGACCCTAATTTCTAACTGCTAAAAAAACAATTACTATCCAAATTTCCCATGTAATAATATGGTTGTGTCGCTTTAAATTGCCTAAATAAAGGAAGCAATGGTACATGCACGTGAGGATTCAGTACAAGCAAATCCTAAATTAACTTATTATCTTGTTTATAATTTCAATAAATAATTGTGTGTTCATCTTTTTCATCACGTAACTTTAATAAACAAGTGATGACAATACATTTTTTCTCGCATGTTAGTTTTCAAAGTTTTTACGGTATACTCACTTGAAACGAGGAAAATCATGATAATGATATGTTAAGAATTGGAGAAAGAAAGAATGAAAACAAGATCAACTACTAGTCTAGTCAACCTAGTTTCTAATTTATGATTTTGTATAGTAAATGCCTATAAAGGATCATAAGACTTTATATAAATGTTTTTAAAGTAGTTGAAAATACTTTTGATGAAAATAATTTTGGAATCAATTTTTAGTAGAAATGCAAGTAAATTCTAAAAAAAACATTTAAGGTGCTTTATGCAAGAAGCACATAATAACCAAAAAACATTTTCTCTAAAAATACTTCCAAACTAGTGCATATAATTTTTCTATTTACACTCCAAAGGCTAATCTTAGTTCACCCAACAAAATTCTTTTACACCTCAAAACCCATTTTTGCCCTATTCAAATCCGAAACACCCACTTAAAATTGAAAAAATAAATAAACGATGCACTCCATGCAAGATCTCACATCGCCTAAGGGAGTGATCCTTATATGTATAATCTCATCCTTACTTAGCACAAAGCCTTTTGGAAGCTCACTGGCTTCAGAGTTCATCGGAACTCATAAGTTAAGCGAGTAGCACATGAGAGCACTCCTATGATGGGTGACCCACTGGGGAAGTTCTCGTGTGAATTCCCAAAAACAAAACCGTGAAGGCGTGGTCGGGGCCCAAAGTGGACAATATCGTGATACAGTGGTAGAGCAGGCCTGGGAAGTGGTCCGCCCTGGGCGAGGATGTGACAAATGGTATTAAAGCCTAACCCTGGTCGTGGTGTGCCGACGATGACGTCTGGCCCCTAAAGAGGGTGGATTGTAACATCTCACATCGCCCATAGGAGTGATCATTAAATGTATATTCTCATCCTTACCTAGCACGAGGCATTTTGGGAGCTCACTAGCTTCGGGTTCCATCGGAACTCTGAAGTTAAGCAAGTAACGCGCAAGAGCACTCCCATGATGGGTGACCCACTAAAAAGTTCTCGTGTGAGTTCCCAAAAACAAAACCATGAGGGCGTGGTCGGGGCCCAAAGCGGACAATATCATGCTACGGTGGTGGAGCGGGCTCGGGAAGTGGTCCTCCCAGGGCCGGGATGTGACACTCCACCTCCCTTCCTCCGCCATCACTTACACTCAACCACCCTTTCTCAAGAGATTTTAATTTCGTTGAAATCGTTTTAATTTGATCTCGTTGGAACCCATTTTGATCTAATTTCGATAACAACCAATAATTAGTGTAGAAATTGCCTGATAGAAATTTTGGTTTGATCTCGTTGCAAATTATACACATGCTTGTCATCACATGGTTTAGGGAGAGGGAGGGGGTCGCTTGATGGGGGTAGGATAAGAAGAAAATTGAGATAGAGTAAGTTTTCTTCAATATTTTAAACTAAATGAACGGTTACTATTAAATCGAAGAAATATTATTTTTATTTACTTGAGAGATATAAAGTCGGACTACCTAATAGCCGAAGTACTGGAAACTTATTTGAAAGAAAGAGAAAGGTAGTACGTGAGGGAGGATGGGGGCTAGGGTGGTTGGTCTTGTAAGAGCAATATTGGATATTTAGGTTTAACAAACAATACGACAATTTACTTTAAACTACGAGAAGAGAGATTTTAACACGAGACTTCTGATGCGAAGATGAAATGCGTTTAACCAACTAAACTATAAGCTACTCGTTATGGAGTGACCTTAGATTAGTAGTGAACTATAACTAAAAAAAACTCAAAATCCTAATTTAGAATAATTGGGATGTCTACTCTTGATAGGTAAACATGATATTCGCATATTTTGTTTTGGGTATGTCTGCCCACAACGCATAATTAAATGCTAACTTTAAAAAAAGGACATTAAAAAATGAGAGAATATTTTGTATGACTGACACACGAGATGATACATTATGTGTCACTATACAAATAATGAAATACGTGTGTTAAAAAGTTAATAACTTAAAATATAAAAGTTTTTACCACAACACATAATGTATCACCCGTATTCTTATCACAATGAAAAATTTCTCTTAAAAAAATGTGTTAAGAGACATGAAACTGGACAATACAGCAAGTGAGGCGGCTGTTTGGCGTTTTGCAATGGGAAAGAGTGGATTTTTATCAGAAATAGAAAAAAAGAAAAAAGAAAAAGAGTCTATCTATTTATGGAATTTAACTGCACAGAAGAATACGTGAAAAGCTTTGGAATATTCCACTAGTGGAACTACACGTGTCAGGTTGTTGGAGCTGGACCATCTGGTTTTTATGTTTCTTAACAAACTAAATTGTAATAACTCTCAATTTCGTGTGGCTAATATGTCAATGGAGTCCCACATTATTTATTGCCACCATTGAGATTGAGATATGTCGACAATTCTGTAAATAAAATGTTTGGACCATATTTTTTTATTGGGCCTTCGATTGGGCCTACTTGAATCAAAACATTGACTTGGATCGCTCCATCTTCTCCAACTATTTATCCCAACCCATGGTAATAGTGTAAAACTTGTTCAAGCCCAGTCGAACACACATTCATTGCTAGTTCCTACACTGCACCAATATACGGCGAGAGTTTTCGGTGGATCGAAGCACGTACATATATCATAATTACGTATGCAATAGCTGAATATAATTGGAGTGTACGACAAAAATAATCACGTAACGAAAGAGATAAACATGGTTTAAATTTAAGGAATGAATGATTGAAACCCAACTAAAGAGAATTGTTATTGACGCTAAAAAATTCTTATTATATACTCCGTAATTTCAATATTTAAAATAAAAGTATAGTGGTGAAAAGTACATGACGAAATTTTTGAACTGTCAATAACAGTTCTAATGCATATTATTATTTAGAGATTTCATTATTCTAGAAACAAAAATCTAAACTTTAATTTACCCTTTTTTTTTTTTGAGGAAACTTTAATTTACCCATTTAGGAGTCATAAGGTACAACTTAATCGCACGCGAAACACGTGATTTGCTAAAATACAATTTATTGGGACCCATTCGCACGTAGTACTGATTTGATACTTATGTGCTTTTATAAAAAATAGGTATAAAAAAACCGAGCTAAAAAATGTGTTTGGTAAACACTTAAAAACAACTTATTTTCACAGTTTTGGGTGAAAAAAATGCTGAAAACGTGAAGCAGCAAAAATGTGTTTATTATCACATCACAGTATAAGCAATTTTTTTTCAAAGCACAGCAATACCTAACCAGCTTGTAACGGGACCTCGCCTAGCATAAAAAAAGGGACCTACACGCCATGTCCATGATGACTCAACCTTCGACAGACACACACGCGCGAAAAAATACCGCGTGGTTACTTCCTTAAATATCACGTTTGGCTCGGAGAACTCGAAACACATATATGCTTGTACAAAATGAGAAATTTCTAATTGTGATGAGAATACGGATGATACATCACTTGTTTTTATGTAATGGTGGGAAATTTTATTTTTTAAGTTATTATCCTTTTAACACAAATATACCACCATTTATACAACGACACGTAGTGTACCACATCGTGTGACGATCATATTGAAAAATCTCTCGTACAGAATCCAATCCCCTACTCCGCAAGCCAAAGAATGCAAGTTATGCAACCCTCCACCCAAGCACAACACTACGCGTGGCAGACCAAAACGAAATCAGGCAATAAAATTTAGAGGCCGTCGATTCCACCACCCAATCGCAAGGCCACACGTGGAAACATCCAAAACAAAATCAACAAAACTTTCCCGAATGTTCACTCCGAAACCAAAAGCAGCGAAACAGACCGAAACTCAACCCGAAATCCAAATATCCAGTAACAAAATTAGCGGGCCCCCAAATACGTAACTCCTTCGGGATTCGGGATTCGGGAATCCAAATCCGAATGCAAATCCGAGAAGTGTCCTATTTCGGCTCCGAAACAGTTCACTATAAATAAAATAGTAATACAGAGCATATCAAGCCAGTCTGCAAATTCACAGTGAAGATTTTGAAGTCTCTGCCATAATCTCGCCATAACGTAGAAAATTGCGTCAGAAATTCTTCAAAGTTTCGTTTTTTCTCGAGAGGTTTTGTTATGGAGTCGGCGGAGGTGAAGCGGATTTCGGAGCCGGAGGAGGTGGTGGAGGTGAAGTGCTACTGCTGCTGTTTGAAGGAGGAGTGCACACCGGCGTACGTAGCGGCGGTGAAGGAGAGGCACCAGGGCCGGTGGATTTGCGGACTCTGCACTGAGGCGATCAAGGACGAGAACTCGAGGTCGCCGAGGAAGATTAGCACGGAGGAGGCGGTGAAGCGGCACTTCAGATTCTGCAAGGAGTTTCGGAAGTCGATTCCTCCCGCGAACCCGACGGCGGATCTGATATCGGCAATGAAACAGCTGTTGCTGCGGACTCTGGACTCGCCGAGGTTGGGCGACTGCCGGCCGGCGATGGTGAGGTCGAAGAGCTGCTTTGCGACTGTGGGGAAGGCACAGGGAAATTGATTGACTGAGAAACAAGAAACAAGATTAATGGAGAGTTTAGTGATTGACTGAGAAACTAATAATACGGATTAGTGATGAGATTAGTGGAATTTGGTTAACTGATAAAGTAAGATTTTTTTGACTTGATTAATTAGGTTTAAGTGGTTTTTTTTTGTTTTTGATTAATGAAGTGGATTAGTTTTGATAGTTGATTAAATGTACATGTTCTTTCTTTTAATCCAAGTTTCCTTAGATACATGCTTATGTTTTTTGTTTTTAATTAATTTATTTTTTGAACCAAAATTATTTTATTTTTATTATTGTTTGGTTTTGGTAATTAAACTAGAGACACAAGATACAAGACACAAGAGTGCCTTGGAGTGTAAGTTTTGTGCCCTAGCTAATTGCAAAGTGAGTTCTTTGGTGGGTTTTGTTCCGTGGTGATTAATGACGCTCAAGTGTTTAATGGCCAATGACTCTCAAGTGTTTAATGGCTGACTGTATGAATTCTAGAACGTCTCGGTTTTGCGCCATGTCTTCCACTTGCTCGTATTCCATATCTTTTCTTAAAGTCATTTTCTAAGTCTTCATTTACCCTTCTACCCTGAGTCCTCGTCTCATAGTCACATTTTTTAACCGGAACATCTGTAGGTCTTCAGTTCACATGTCCAAACCATCTAAACCCTAGTCTCTAGTTTGTATACGCGATTATGTATTTATTTCTCACGTTTTCATTCAATTTGTTTTTTCGATCCTTTGTTGATGTGTTAAGTCATGCGATAATAAAGATATACAAACTAATAATATAGAAGTCGAGTAGAGTATGGTCATCTGGTAATATGGTGGATTGGTGGTTGTACTCTTGTAGGCTTGGAGCATTATTTTCCATAGCATGCATCAGTGTTTGTGTTTGGGTACAATTTTAAGACTTCTATAAATCCTAATGACACTCTTAGCGGACCCCTAACCTTGATTTGTTTAAAGAAATTATCATTAAAGGGTATTGTTTTCGGTATTATCGAACCCTATTACTATTTATCATTAAAGGGTATTGTTTTCCTCCTTGAAAATTCGTTACCGCCATCACATGAAAACACTGCCAGACTTTCTTTGTAAAACACCATTGCAGTGTCTTAGCATCTGGGAATGCCGGAAACTTACAGAGCGTTGTGAACAAGGCAGCGGAGAGAAGTGACCAAAGATTTTTCGCATTCCAAACATCATACGCAAGTATTAGCTTTCTCTCGAGTAGCAAAGCAGGGCACTGCAGACGAATGAGTCTCATCCTGGGGTAACTGAGCTCTTATATACATATTTATGCATGAATCTATTGCAGCTAAATTTTGATCAAGCAGAATTAATTTAAATTTTGATCCATGCGTTCCAAATTTTGTGTTGAAGATTCTTTCAAACATTAAACCCGTTCCTACTAATAACATCTTGAACTATATCAAACTAGCAATGATGATTAAACTTACAGATTTCTACCACCAACAGATTTCTAATTTCTCTGCAGGACGACTGAGTGTAAAGTTGAGATCGATAAACCATCAGTACGTGTTAAGTACTCCTATGTTTCCAAAATCAATCTCACATTTCCATGTCGCAGGATTTTCTTATTTTAGTAGTTTTTTCGCAGAAAAGAACATACAGGAGATAGACAACCTGGCATTTTGGACCCGACCCGTTAATATTAGTATTTGGGTGAATGCTTAACGGGTCGGGTAGCTAACGGGTGAACCCGTTAACACCTGTTAGTTGATGATATTTTAGTAATTTCAGTAAAGTCTTCACAACAAAATATAAACTCTATGCCAAATAATAATAATAATAATAGTTGTTAACGGGTGAAACGGGTAACCCATTAGCTTAACGGGTTGGTCCGAGTGACTCGTTAACTTAACGGGTCGGGTTCAACCCAACCCGTTTACATCATAGACTAGTGGATGGGGCCTAATTAAGCTTTTTATGCATGATTTGCTTATCTTAGTTGCTGAAGATTTTTCGTTGAATTCACCTTGAGGTTTCATCAAGCCACCCAAAGTTTCTCACGAGGTTTGTCGTTTGGCTTTAATCTACATAATTTAGTTGTTTCTGTGAAAATTTTATTCCAAGACAATGTCTTAGAGAAGTTGCTAAATTGGTAATCTGTGTATGGTTCTGGGATTCTATCGAAGTGAAAAGCGTGGTGTCAACCATCAATGTCCTTTTCCTGTAGTTTCAACTGAAATTTTGATCTTCTTCCCCGATGTCATGCGAAGGCATTGGAAAGTGATTCCTTCAAGCATTCCTCCCGCTGACTCCTCATTGCTTGGACCTGATCTTGATGACACTAGATCCTCCATGGCCATTTTTCAACTGGTCAAGTATAATCGTGTGAGCTGAGAAGCTAATGGCATTTGCTTGCACGGAATGGATTGACGCTCGCACAAGACGGATTTGGTTTGAGAAGCCGTCACACATGATTACAGATCTCCCTGTAGAGGGTAGTCATACTGCATAATTTTGGTGTGTGTGTTGTGCGGAAGCGTCAACCAAGTGTGAGTGAAAAATAAACCACAATAACTGACAAAAGATAAATGAAAAAATATCAACAAGAATACCAAGATTTATACTGGTTCGGCAATGCCTATATCCAGTTTGGAGACAACGGAGTATTCCACTATAATCAATGAGAACATACAATAGTGTTTATCACTCAATTTCCCAAAAACCCGAATAACCCAAGCTCACACACTTACAATAGGAAGGGAAAAACCAAAATTACAAAGCAAAACAATTTGAGAAAATTTTTTTCTCTGCCGAATGGCTTCTTACTCTTTTTCCTCTCATATCCTACGGGCTGCTCCTGCTTCTCCTTTTAAAGCCAAAGAAAAGTGGCTCCTCAAAGAAACCAATGGTCAAAAGGCCTCCCATCAAGTCAAAAGAATTAGGCATAAGTGCATCCATTTTTGTTTGTCTCCCACATCCAGTATGCCAACCAACAACCATTACCACAAAAGTAGTCGAAAGTATTGTTTCACTTTTGCCTATTGTTTGAGCCAATAATCAACAGTGTGGCACTCCTTTCTCCTTCGAAATCCCTGACAAAATTTTTACCCAGGCCCTTCCAATAGTGCACCTTATTCTATCTTGTACATATTCTTCCAAAATGCTAATGAATACCTTCCTTCTTCGCATGCACGATGTCTGAGATGTATCATTGGTTAAAATTCGTCCTATAAGTCATGGCCAACCTATCAGATAAGGTACAGCTCCATGAAATCTAGTACATTTACTCCAATCTGTCCGGCAATCATCTGATATTTTCTACATATGGTAACTCAAAATTCACAAAAGCTAGTATTTCAGTTGAAATATAACATCCAAGTCTTCAGTTACAAGTAAAGAAACTGGAGAAATAACTCCCAACTCCTCGCTGACGCACTTAAAACACTTCAGTTGTCTGACTCAAAACGCGCTTTTAGCTTTTCTAGAAGCACTATAAACAGGCTCGTATCCACTTATTCTGATTACACCAAACTTAAGAAAGCAAATGCAATGTGTTTCATTATAAGAAAAAGCAATCAAATTTGCTGTATTATTTGTCTGAATTACAACATACATTACCAGAGAAACAGAGCACAAACTCACCGCCATGCTTAATGTGATGGAATGAATAAGAATTTATGGACGAAGCTGCAAATTTGACAAACTGTTGAACCAAATATCATCCTTTAAACATTAAATATTTATGTATTCACCACCTCGAATCGCATTCGAAGCCCCTTTTCTGTCTTCTTCGGCCTCCTTCTCCCTCTCTTTCCAGCTCTCGTATGCATGATCATCCGTCTGCGGCTCATGCCGGCATATCGGACAAAAATTGTGCTCATCCTGCTACACTCAAAACAACTCAAAAACCCCAGCCGGTCAGTCCCTTGAAAATCGAATTGAACGCAACCAATGAGCTACATGAACAATATAACAAATGTTCAAAAATTTGAATACAATGCAAGGAGGGTGAAAAGTGTGCTTGCGGGATAACTCCTGCATTTTTTTCATTCACAAACAAGTTTTCCTTACAAATGCAGCAATCGACGTCCTCTCCGAGCCATTTCAACACTTCCTCCGTGATCGTGATCACCGGAAGATTCGCCATCACCAGTTTGCTCGCTGGCAATCCTCGGAGCCGCCCTCTCACGTCATCCAAAAGCCCTGTTTGGACCTAAATTAGGCAGTTGGGCCTAATCAAGGCCCAACGTCTCAAATAATTCATGTTTAGCTATTGGGTGTTTATTTTTAACAGAAAGGAACAGTGAAAAGCCCAAAGGCTTGAAAATACTTTTGACGTGGCAAGAATGGGTGGCGAAGATGCTCTCTTTCATACTAAAATATGCTTACTCAGCGAATTTTGCAGAGGAAAAGTGAATTTCCATGGCAAAATCTGTAAGATTTCGAGAGGATTAAAACTCAAGTATTCAAGTGGGAGCTCATCTTCTAACAAACATTACATCAACAACTTCGATGAAAGGGAATGAACCGAATTTTGCAAAGGAAAAGTGAATCAGAGAAAATGACACTCAACTCAACAAAAAAACAAAAAACCTCTAAAAGTTCTGCAACCTACTTTTCAATTATTTCCTCAGTACTTCGTACAATCCCCTTTGTATTTATAGCTCTGCTACTTTCCTTTGTAGTAGTAATTTCTTGTATTAAAATCTTTAACTAGTACATTGCTCAAAACTGCAAGAACTTGCCCAACAGACATTATAATTGCCCAAATAGGTTGAAACTTTGCTCGATTGCTTGTGTTTGTAATCTACTTTCATCTTATGGCTTTTAATGCTATTTATGGTCCTTCTACTAACACTTCGCAAGCATTTGAAAACACTTTCCCTTCAGTTCTTGCTTTTACTTCATTTATTTTGCTCTTTGTCTTTACTTTGTTTTTCCATCAAGGATTTGCCGGCTGGCTCATACCATCTTTTGATCAGTTTGTGATCATTGTTCTTGGTATTAACTTAAAAAATATAAAGTTTTTG